TGTACACAGTAGTAGCATTTTCGCCAGTTGAAAACCTTTCTTCCTTGAAGGTAAACACAATTTGTAGCTCAATCTGTTGAATCCACTTTTAAGTAATGGTGTATATGTTTTTGGAAAGATAAAACTAAATTGCATGAATCCAAAGCATCCCACTGAACTGCAGTGCAATACAGCTAAGACACAACAAAGCAGAATAATCAGTTAATGAAACCAAGTTCGATATTGCAACAGTAATGAGGTTGGTTTCAAATTGTGGCAGGGAAGAAAAACAAACAAAAGAAACACAAGAAAAGACTGTTATTGATAAGCGATAAAATAGTATAACAAATACTGCACAGTTTTCTTTACAGGTAAAGACTAAACTTCACATGTTGCATGATTATTTTTGTTTTTACCACTCAAAATTGGTACTTAAGTAATACTGAATATTACTATAAAAATCATGTTTGGATGAAAAGCAATATTAAGAAAACAGTCATGATCCTGGAATACACTAAAAATTATTTAAATGCATTTTTTCAGAAATTGCTTTTTAAGAAATCATTTTTATCAACTACTCACACGGTTGATCTCATACAAAAATGTACCACATTACTCAATGAAATATATTTGTCATAGATGATTCTATCTCAAAATATTACTCTTTGAGCACTGTGAGGAAATAGGCACTTTTGGAAAATTCAGCATATCTAAGAGTTGCGGTATCAGTACCGCAAGTAAATTGAGAGGTTTAACTATAATAGTGATGTGAAAACTGCTGGTTCCAGCTAATAAGGCCCCTTGGTCAGGATGCTTCCTGGATAGTGTATGGGAAAATGGAATTTTCCAAGTGATGTAGCTCAATGCCTTTCTCTGGTAAAAGGAACACTGTCCAAAAGAATTTGCACCTGGTGATAGAGAGCAGTCAGAAACAGTAACATCTTACATGGTGTGTGCACCTGGGAGGACAAAATGAAGTGAGGGTTGTGAAAACTTCCGACAGGTTAATGACAGTTTGAACACAATGAAGGGAAAACTGTAAGGGCACACAGAGAGTCTTTCAAAGATCATAAGTGTTGTTCATTATTTCTTGTTTAAAACTTTTCCAACTTAGTAACTAATAACAACAATGTGGTGAAAGATGATCCAGCACATGGAACATATAAAAATTAAGATTTTTCTTCAGTGCTAATTATGGAGTGAAAAATTTGTGAAACCCAAGACCTAACGTGTTCTCTCATCACAATTTTTCTTCTAGCCTTTTCTTTAGGTCTTTATTGTGCACATTTTTTATTGTGCAAAAAAAATGCTACATGGATATGTAAACATTTGTATAGCAGAACTATCTTTGAGAGACACCTGATATTATAAGCAAAATCAAGTTATAATTTTATATGTATTTTTATATATATACATATATATATATACATATATATATTTAAATTCCTCAGGCTGTCTTGAAAATTTCATCTTAGCATATGGCCAGCTTTATCTTTCATATGTAGTTCTCTAATATTTTTAATTTAAAAAATAGTTATTTCTCTATGATAAATATGTAGATAATAACTATAGACAGATCTTAATACCCAGTACATATCACATATTCCACCATACATATCATATATTCCACTTTTCAATTGATTGCTTACTATTACTCTCATCCAATACACACTAGGCTTCATACTTAAAACCAAATTTTGAAGTTGATTAAATCCATTAATAAACATCATTTGAAAAGAGTATTTTATTTTGATGTAATTTTTATTTATCTTTCTTATTTTATATAAGGAAAATTAAACATAACTAAACACAAAGATGACTTGGTAGGAAGAAATATTTAAAAATGCCCCCTGGTTCCCTGCAATTCATGTCTTCACAGCATTCCTTTCAGATAAAAGTCAGGGTTAACAGTTCCCTGTTGGCATCAAACCTGATAATCTCTTCCTGTCCTAGAGAACTGCTCTTATCACCAGGAGCAACCCCAACAGAGAACAAGGATAAAGCACGGAAATTCTGTGCAATCCTACTGCCAGTTTAAATCTCTGATAGGGGTCAGCAAGTAAAAGGACGAGACAGTGACACCAGAGTACTCAGTGCCTTCATTAGACCTGTTTGACTGAAGTGGCGTTTAAGGATGTGATGGAAGCAGTTTCCTCTCCTGACTGCACAAACTGTCAAATACAATAAAACATAAAGAAAAAATGCTGTAGCTTTGTTACTAACTTACAGAAAGGCATAGATATGTTGGTTACTTCCATCTAGAAACTGTAAGACAATATCAAGAAATAAGTTCTGCTTATCTACTTATTTTTTAATTTTAAAAAGTTATTGAGGGCCTATATGAGAATATTATTAAAGATAATTCAAATTTCTGTTAACATGGCTTAACTGCAAGACTGAGCCATACCTTAAGAAATTCTCAAAAACTGTTTGGAAGAGGACAAAACCAAACTAATGGAAGAAAAAAATTAAACTATTTTGAAGGGTCTAATGCAATTTTTAAAATGAAAATTTGGGGAAAAAAATGTAAAAGCCCTGATAGCACTGTTTGTAGCTACAATTATTACGCTGAAGAAATGCCACTTGGAAAATATTACAAGGATAATCAGAACTATTCGATATTGACTTCACAGAATCCCCCCATTTTTAATAGCTTGCTACAAAAATACAAATTAATTGTTTAGTTTTTGAACCTGAATCTTTTTGCTCAAATTCCCAAGCCTGCAACTTCCCATAACTGGAATGACAGATAAGCGTGACACTCTTTCATGTAGGAAGATACAGGGGAAAGGACTGTCAGAGCTTAGGACAGCCCAGCATTGGGTGGAAATGGGGGCAAGGAGGTGCTGAAAGCCTCTTTGAAGGGGTTGTTCTGTTCCAGAAGTTTATGTCAGAGGCCAGACTGATGGGAGATGAGCCTGCAAAGAGGCACTTCCTTCTGGGGACATTATTTTTAAGAACAGGAGAATTCTTTACTCTCAAACAAGTGTTTTCTCTCCTGGGCAAGACAAATAAGTTATATTTGAAGCTCATATACCAGTGCAAAGTTATTTGCAAAGGAAAGCAAAAAATTTCTCTGACTCAATCAGAATATGAGACAGACCTATATCATACCACCCTAGAAAACACTTGCTTTGCATCATAGAACTACTTGACTTAAAGGAATTGAGGAAAATTGTATTTCTGTTAGTCAAACAATGCCTGTGCTGGAAAAAATACATTTGGGTTAAAGCTCGCTAGCAATTGAGTATTTAAAACTTAAAACTCCAGTTTTAGAAACATCATCATAAAAATATTCTGTTATACATTAAAAGTAACCATTACAATGTGTGATTTCTCTGATGGTAGAATAATATTTCTATGTTCTTTATAAACTACATTTCCTCAGAGGTTTTTAGAACTCTAGAAAATTTTATGCTGTATCAAAACCTGTGTCTACCAAGACATAAATTCAGACTTTAAGTTATTCCATTTTCTCATACACTATATTTGATTGTTCCCACATATATTCAAAATTAATTCTGCCATACCATAAAAAGATTGCTACTTTTAAATTCTTTCCACATCATCTAAAACTTTCATCCTGAAAGGTATCTTAGGTTATAATAATGTATTGTATCAATGCAGAGGTTTTATTATGCCCTCTGGTATGAATTCTGTATTGCTAATAAATGCTTAAATTTCAATTCTCCATGTTTCATAACATGTGGTGCAACATATCCCTCTCTTTTGAATACAAAATATATTCATATTGAATGCTAAAGCATAGTGGCAACACAACCACAATCAAATCATATATTTCATATCATGGTGTTGAGAGTTGGCAGAATTTTAAAGAAACTTCACTTAATTTGCATTTTTATCTAGGGGGTTTTTTTCCCTTTATATACATATAAAAGGTTGTCCTTGCATGCATTAAAGAAAACAAATATAGCAAATTAGGATTTAATTCTTAAGTCTTCTGGCTTGGCAAACCTCTCAATTCCTAACACCTAAAAATTCTTTTGATCATTCCTCATTTTTCTTTCAGATTTATACTCTATGCCACAATGCAATGCTTCTCTGCCAAAAAAAGAGCACACAACTATAGTGAAAGCACTTTGAGAACTCCTCAGGAAATCACTCCATGGTCTGCAGTCATTACTTTTATTTCTGTGCCACAGAATCCTATTCCAGCTTTTATCTTCCCACTGGAAAGAATTTTTCTGTTCAAAGACTCAGTTCAAACAAGCTCATGCAAACTCTACTGGAGATGCAAAATAATTGTATCTAGAAATTTCTAGACAAATGAAGCAACTATGAAATTTAAATAGAAGGATTTTTTTCTTGTTTTCATTTTTTGAAGACCTTTGCTCATGAATTTGAAGAAAAAATTGAAGAAGTAATTACTCAATTAATTTTTTTATATTTCAGATTTATATCCTCTGATTAGCTTCTCAAGCACGAGACTCTTCTAAGCAAAAATAATCTCCTTTTCTCCTGGATAAAATGCGAGAGCTTGGAATAAAGACAATCTCTAAAAGAGACTGTTACAAACATGAAAACTCCAGGAGGTTTTATAATAGTGGCTAGACACCATTTAGAGATTAGTAAATCAGAGGACTCAGAAACAAAAAAAGAATCTTTGTTGATTCTTAGAAGGTTAAGCTCAAGACTTAGCTGCTGCTCAAGCCAGTCCTTACTTTATCCCACTGAATGCTTTTCATTCCCAACAGTCTCAGCTTGCCTGGAGATTTGAAGTTATTAAGCTTAGCCTTAATTTATGGGATAATATCACTGGAATATGATTTCAGAAGAAACCCTGTACTACTTAAGTCACCAACAGACCAACAAGAGTCTTGTTAACTTCAGAAAGACAGGATTCCTCCACAGAGGAATGAACTACAGAACATACTTTCTTCATTTATGCAAGTTTAACCATTAATTACCACGAAAAAAATGACCTTCCATTAAGAATGTACTATTTTTTTTCTTATCTTTTAAAACAGATTTAAAAGAGAAAACAAAATATTAGAACTTACATTCAATATCAAGGTACATGCTCTTTTGGTGCCCACCAATTCTACTTGCCGCTTCACAGTCATATCTCCCTGAATCTGACAACTTCACATCTTTAATATGCAGTGACGACTTTCCATGCTGCCCTTTGACTTCTATACGGCCATCTGGGCTCTGTTTACATTGATTCAGGAAAAAAGAAGGTTTTATATGTTTATATATGTATATCAATGTAGAATTTATATATTAAACACTATTGATAAGAATGACTGAAAGCATCTCTTCACCTATAGTGAAGTTATTACTGACAGCTAAGCAACTTCTAAATTGTCCAAATAAATTAAAAAAATATGGAAAAACATGTTCTCTTTCTAGGCAATATAATAAAAGAAATAAGTACATGCTTAAAGGAACATTGTCAAGGGAAAACACAAAACTTATCAATTTATAACAGCAATAGTGAACCCCATACTCAAAACATCTTTATGATCTCACTCACTGTGTTATGATGCTGTTAAGAAAAATGCATAGATACAACACTATATCTTAGATTACACACAGCATTATCTCTGGTCCTTACAACTGCAGCTGTGAAACTGAACAGAAGTAATGCCTCAGACACTGAGCAAATCCCTGAATCTCACAACTGCTAAAAAAACCTTGAACCATAAATGCAACAAGAATTTCTGGATTTCAGTTCCTTTTCATTACATGGAAAAGGCATGAAAAAATGAATGCTGCCTATGAATTTTCTAGAACATAAATTTTATAAAAAAATACCTATCCATAATGACTCTCCTTGCCCCTCCCATCCCTCCCCACAAAATTATTTGAATTTAAAGCATATAAAAATATTAGGTAAAACTAAACAAAATAAAGAAAAATTTCTCTTCTTGATGCTTCAAACTTTATGAAATATTATGACTGAGGAAAAAGAAGTTATTTTCTTCTGCTCTTTACTTGAAGCATCGTACAATACTTGGGCTGGAAAGGACCTCAAAGCTCATCTCATTCCAACCCCCCTGCCTGGGCAGGGACATCTTCCACTAGATCAGTTTGCTCAGAGTCCCATCCAACCAGACCTTAAACATTTCCAGGGATGGGACAGCCACAGCTTCTCTGGGCAGCCTTTGGGAAATTTCAGGTACTTTGTCATCTCTTTTTTTGCTTAAGGGAAAAAAACCTCCAAATATGATTAAAAATACTGATGTTAACCTACCTTCATTATTGTAAGGTGGAAAAGGGATGAGAACACAGTTACTATTTCTGTGCATGACGTTACACTTGAAGCAGATTTTTATGTTCAATTCTATAATACACACACTCAAGTTTGCTGCATGTTACACTCAATACTCACCAAGTGGCTGCTGATGTTTAAGTGGCTGAGCTTTTAACTCATTACAATTTTTCCTTGACTTACTAAAGGAAATATGTCACAATTTAGACCGTAAAATATTTGATGTAAAGCAGTCAAATGGAGCATTCTGTTCATCATGACCTCTATAGAAAGAAAAGTATCCCGATCCTATGTAAGAATCCAAGTAGACAATTTTTTTTCCTGTGAAAATGGCTCATCACAGGTACATAAATTACAGTTCTTGAATTTCTTGAATTCTGACTCAGAAGCCAACATAAACCTCTTTGGATTGGTAAAAATTAGCAACTTAGACCACTTAACTACCAATTTTAATACTGAAATTTCTATTTCCATAATATGATCAAAAAAGAAAAAGAAAAGTTATGATGTTGCTAGTAAACATGTTACAGTAGTGAACACCATGGCTTTTGGAAGGAATTCCTCGGCTGATTAAAATGCAATTTCTTTAAAAAAACCACTGTTTTCTAATTTCTGACACAAAGCCAGATTTATATATATATGTGAAACATATATATAAATGGTTGTTTATATAGTATTATATGTATTGTTTATATATATGTAAAGCAAGTACATTCTATGACATAGTTAATACTAGTTATGAGTATTTTCTTCTTTATTTAAATATTAAGCATGTAATACCATGGTCAAACTACATTATTCCTACTAAAATGTACATACAATTCAGAAATTTAATTTCTGATTTTGCCTTGATGACAAATATTTTCTTAAGGACTTACACTTAAAATGGTTAAACAACCTGTAACAATGAATCATAGATACAATAGTAAATACTTTGTTAGTGATTCTTTAGTTCAATACTAATCCCAAATACTTTAATTCTCCAATACATATTTCACTATAAGTAATTCCATATATCCCTAAGCACATATATGAGTACTAACTGATGTAATACAAAAAAATAATAATGAAAATAAGCACAAATATCCTTAAATTAATAGGTTTCACAGTAATTTCTCTATCTCTTTTTAGTTTATTTAATTATTTTCTAACACTTATGGAAAAAAAATTTGACTATACTCAGTAAAATTTTCTTATGTTTTCACATTCTCTTATTCAAATGTAGATGATGTAATATATCTTAGATTTATAGGCAGGACAAAACCCAAGTTATAAATACTAATAAATACTCTGAATAATAGAAGATTTTCGTATATCATTTATTTTTATAATCAAATATATGGTAGAAACATTTTAAGAAGGATTTTCTAGTTTTAAAGTCCATAAAACAAATAAAACAATGGTAGGCAAGAACATGGCACTAGAATTATCACAAAAATATGCATTTACTAAAAACAATTTCTACTTTTTTTAGGTGTGTGTGTTAAAACTGCTTACTAGATCAAGCAAAATTTCTAAAATGTGTTCTGCTTCATTGCTTATAATACACATTATACTTTTTAATAAACAGTTTAAAAATTCCTGTTCCCTGAGTCTATTCTGCAAATGGATTGGTGTACAAATCCATAATTCATTTCTTTTACAAAGATACTGCAATACCTGATTAAAAATATACTGATAGGCTGGCATTCCTGAAGAAAGAAACACATGAAGTGGCTTTTTAATAAGCAGTTTAAAAATTCCTGATCCCTGAGTCTATTCTGCAAATGGATTGGTGTACAAATCCATAATTCATTTCTTTTACAAAGATACTGCAATACCTGATTAAAAATATACTGATAGGCTGGCATTCCTGAAGAAAGAAACACATGAAAGAAACCAGAGTGTAAATACAGACCAAGAAAATTCTATTGCAAACAAAGAAACAACCAACTGAACAAATAAATATATGAAAGGAAATGTTTTGATGCAGGTGTCTCTATCTGTGAGAGGATTCCCAGTATATGAGGGAGATTACCACATGCAAATCAAAATGGTAGTGAAGTTGGTGAGGTTTCACAAGGCCTGCAAAAATACTGGTGTGACTGTATTATATTTCTTTATGGTATAAATCAGACAAGAGAGATCTGGGTTAATGATTAAAGGACATATGATCACACAAAAAAAGCATGTAACAGTGCAGTTGAGTATGAAAAAGAGCAATAAAGAAACTGGGACAAAAATCGAATATGCAGCATTACCTGGAGCAAAAACTGAAGATACACTATTTACATTTTTCTGTTATTGTAAAGGACATTATTAAAACCAGGATAAACTGACAAAGCAGAACTTTCTAACAATTGGTAACACCTTGCTGGAATTAATTTCTCTCCTGCACTAATTATTGAGAACACACATTAGTACTATGTACGGAACCATAACACACCAAAACAAGAAGAGAAAGAGACACAGGTATGGGAACACTATACCTGCCCAGTAATTCTTAGGAAAAATCCTCACCAGGAAGAAAGCTTTGGAGCTGCCAATGGGCCAAAACCAAAATACAGATATCAACTCTATAAATTAACAATGTCAGTAACTCTGAAGCCTGACTGAAATAATAATGGAAACACATTAAATTGGACATTCTTTTTTTTTTTTTTAATGTTATAGCATGAGAGATGTAGAATCTGTATTTAATTTTTTTGCTTGATAATGATAAAGAGCAAAAAAGGGACAGAACAACCCTATAGACAATCAGAATAGTCTCTGTGGCTCAACACTCATGATTTCTGCTCATTCACTGAATTACTCAGTATCTCCTCCCACTATAGAGAATGAACAAACATTGAGGTCTCACAAACTTGAAGCTAAGACAGTACCATACAGATTTACATATTCTTTGGAAACAAAAATTGTGTTAACAGATCCTTACACTCTTAGACACTGGAAGAACGATGAAGTCTTCAGAAGTTATATTTTCACAACATTTTAGAATTCATAATAAAATCTAAGAAATAAATACTTTCATGATTAATTTTCATTGGAGAATTTAATAGAAATCATAAATAGAAGTAGGGTTTTGAGGCTTTGGTGGTGGGGTTTTTTGCCCCCATAACTTCATCACCAGCATAAAACTAAAATACAAGTGAAAATCTTCAGCAGAGATTTTGAAAAATATTTTACTTAGGTAAAGTCACTTTGTGATTTTATCCCCATAAAAAGCACATTCCCTAAATTCGGAAGCAGGAAAGTCCTTTTATTTTGAATATTGATAGCAATCTAGTTCTCTGCCATTGTTAAAGGAAACTCTTCTATACAGGTCTGTAAGTAAAAATATCCAAAATGACACCACATAAAAAGTATCTTCTGGGAAAAAAAAAGGTGAAAATTTTCTGCACTTGCAATACTTTTGCTTATAACATGTAGTTCAGCAAAAAATTACTTCTATGCTAATTAAAAAATGAGAGGTATTGCATAATTTGAGCTTAGTGCTACAGATTCTGTAAAAGTACATATATATTTTTGGTTTGGATAAAATTTATGTCATACTATAAATGTTATTCTTCTCCTTGACTCCTTCTGTCATGATCATGCTTCCTGAATGTCTTGCATAATTTGTAGTTCCACATGTGAGTATTCCCAAAGGCCTAACCAGCTGATGCTGACTTGACTGGTCTATTCACAGCTTCAAAGACAAGAATCAGAGCTCTCAAGGCAGTACCAGAACAATGAATTTCAAGAATTCCACTCTGAATTTCAAGAATTCCACTTGCAGAGTGGATGGCGATGTGATGAGACAACAACATCCATATGGAGACAAGGAAAGCTTCTGGAACAGAATAAATTATTCAGGTACCATGAAGTCTTCAATCTGCAAAATTCCACTGCCATTTTAGTAAAATAAGTGTAATTTTTCAGGACAGAGTTCAGTGATTAAGGTGCTCAGAAATTGTTG